AGTGACAAACGCCATCCGTAAATAATTAATAATGATTTATCCCCCTGTAAATTATTAACAGTAATTTATCCACTAGCAAGCGGTAGTGCACAAAAGCTTCTCGTTTCTCTGTCCCACCTGCTTTTCTTGGCATTACATCTTCTGTGTCTGAGGGGGACATCTCCTGGCTATTCCCCCACATTCCCAAATCTTCACTTACCTTAAATCCCCATTTTATACGGCCGCACCGACGACCCCAGCCTCCCGCCAGCGGTGCCATGTCTGGATGCAAGCGCTCGGACAGCGGCTGGGTGTGGGAAGAGCCGGGCCAGGGGTGGAGCCTTCCTTATGCAGGCGCCCGGACAGCGGCTGGTTGTGGGAAGAGCCGGTCCAGGGATGCAGCCTTCTCCTGCATCCCACCTGCATCCCCCCCCAACCCCAGGGACCCCCGATTCGCAGCCAGGGCAGGGGTGACGTTCGCCCTGCCTGCACCCACGGGGCTTGTGCCCGGTGCCACCACAGCGATGCCCACATGCCACCGCCAGCGTCAGCCCAGGATTCTCCATCGGGCAACCAATTAAATCACGTGGAGTTCATCCGTACTTTAAAATAAGCTTTATTTAGATCTTTTATAATTTTATATTTGCATCCATGCCTTCAAGGATTCTCCCCCACTCACATGGGGAAAAGTTAAATCTAATGTTACCCATAATTCATATGCTATTTAACGAAGTTCTCTTTTAAATAAATCATCCTCTTAGTAATTTTTAGAATTATTTCCTAATTTACAAAAAAGCTGAAATGCAAAGGAAACTACTCGATAACAAGGAGATTGCTCATCTGCTCCGGTGGTTTATAGTTTAAATTATAAAAACGCAAGGAGAACAAAAAAAAAACCAAAACAAACAAAAAACCAAAAAACCCCCCCAAAAACCCAACAGAACGTATAAAAATGCTTCTCTGCAGAGAAAGATGCCACGGGGCAAACCCTGCCCTGCCACCCCCCGTGGCCTCTCCGCATCATCCCGTTAGCAGGAATACACAGCGCAAGGGCATCGGCGGTTTAGTTCGGTGATTTAAGACAAAATACCCCTTTTTCAACCAGGGCGTGCGTATCGGAATTAAGAAAAATAATACACTATTATAGCATCATTAAATAAATCTTAATACATTTTTAAGAGCTTAAAATTATATCGTAAGCATTAAAGCATAAGGTACTTATCTTGGCATAAGCAGAGCGCAGTGCGTGTTAGTGGAGAGGGGAAGCGGCCGCCGCGCCGGGGGGGTGGTTTTGGGGCATTTCCAGGGGATTTGGAAGCACAAGCTCCACCTGCGCTTAAAAATCACCCCGGCGCCAGAAAAACCTCCCTGGCGGGCACTCGTACCGATTTCCCCGGCCCCCCCGACGGCGACAACACCCCAAATGGGAGCGGGGTGGCCGGCCCCAGCCGGACGACGGGGATATCTCGGGATATCGCCTCTCCCCTCCTCCCAGCTCATGCCGGATCCCCTAAATTTTACTCGAAGCAAACGGCGAGCCCCCCAAACGTGGGGAAAAACCACGGGCAAAGCTCCCACCAGCTTCCCCCCCGTCTGATTTCCCAGTGATTATTTAGGTTTGCGTTTTCCAAGGCGTTAAGTGCTCCTGGGGCACCTGCAGCCGCGGGGCTGAGGGAGCCCGGGGCGGGGGTCCGTGGCTCCAGCCCCCCCGGCAGCAGCTTCCCAGGACAGTACAGTACAAACACACCCTTCCTCCTCCCCGCCCCATCCCAACCGACATGGAAAAATATAAAAATCCCAAAACTTCTGCAATAATTTAGTTAGAATAGCTCCTCTGGGTTTGTGCAAATAAATTAAAACAACTAAAAAGGAACGTTAAAACACTTATTTTCAGACCGGCAG